GCCTGGAAAACTTAAAAACAAAAGATGTGGATATCCATTTTTTATATTGTGTATATCTGGTTTTCCCTTACACCATATGCAAAAGTTAAATGGATCAAAAACATAAACTTAGAAGCTAAGACTACATAAAACTATCAGAAGAAAGCAGGGGTAAATCTTCATGACAATGGATTTGACAATGGTTCCATTGATGTGACACCAAAGGGGCAACAAAAGAAAAAACAGATAAATTAGACTTCATCAAAATTAAGAACTTTTGTGCAACAAAGGACACTATCCTTTGTTAGACAACCCATAAAATGGGAGAATTTGCAAATCATATATCTAATAAGGCATTAATATCCATCACATATAAAGAACTGAAATGCAACAGCAAAAAACCAAACAACCCAATTCAAAAATGGGCAAAGTACTTAAATAGACATTTCTCTAAATAAGATATAAAATTACCAATAAGCACACTAAAAGGTAGTCAACATCATAAATCATTAGGGAAGTACAAGTCAAAATCACAATAAGATACCACTTCACACTTACTAGGAGACTACAATTTAAAATTTTTTAATAGAAAATAATAAGTATTGGCAAGGCTATGGAGAAATTGGAACCCTCTTACATCGCTGGTGGGAATGTTAATTTTCATACTACAAAGGAGAACAGTTTGATGGTTTCTCAAAAGGTTAAACATGGAACTATCACATGACCCATCAATTCCACTCCTAGGTATATACCCAAAATAACTGAAAGCAGGTATGGACTCAAACAGATATTTGTATATCATTGTTCATAAAAGTATTATTCACAATTGCCAAAAGGTAGGAACTACCCAAGTATCCATCAATAGATGAATGGATAAGCAAAATATGGTATGGACATAAAATGGAATATTATTCAGTCATAAAATGTAATTAAATTTTGATATATGCTACAATGTGGATGAAGCTTGAAAACATTATGCTCACTAAAACAAGCCAGACACTGAAGGATAAATGTTGTATGATTCAATTTATATGAAGTACCTAGAATAGGCAAATTCATAGAGAAAGATAGTAGAATAGATGTTACCAGAGATTACAGATAGGAGTAGAAGAGTTATGGCTACAGAGTTTTTGTTGGGAATGATGAAAAAGTTTTGGGTATAGATAGTGATGATAGTTATACAACATTGCTAATGTATTAATGCCACTGAGTTGTACACTTACAAATGGTTAAAATGATAAATATTATTATGTATATTTTACCACGATAAGAAAAAAAGGAAGCATTAAGTATATTTGTAAAATTGCTTTGGTCATGGAGTGGAGGAATACTATGACTCATTCTAATGTCAACTTTTGGACCACATTTTTAATGGATAAGGATGTAGTTTCACTGACCAGTTAAATTTACTCAGTTTTATGATCAGACTTACCCCCAATCCTAGTGCTTTATAATTTTCAAAGAACTTGCATATATTTTCCCAAGTTAAATTAATTTTCACACACACACTGAGTAGTGGACAAATCATGACACATTTTTTAGATGACCAAAAAAGTGAAGTTCAGTAAGGTTAAATTATATGTTCAAGTGAGAATGAAATAAAATACTCCACGTAAAAGATTTAACAGTGTTTGGCTCAGTAATCACTCAGCAAGCTTTAGCAATTATCATGTTATAATGGGTAAGTAAGTATATGATCCAGGAGCAGGCAGACATCATACTCCTAGGATCTTCTAGGAAACTTCAAGAGCACTGCTCAGCAGCAATCATTTTAAAAAATCCCAACTATACAAAGCAATGGGTCAGCTTCATCATCCCTGAAGCACAAAGGTTATTCACAGGTTCTTTTTTTTTTTTCCAGCAAAGTTGATCTCGAGTTGATATACACATTGGCAACTGTGAAAGAGACTTTATCTTCTAATTTTCTTAAAGACTGGTGTGCAAATGTTTTTATCCTACCCTTGACTGCTGCATCTCTCAGTAACACAATGTAAAAGAGCAAAGCAACCAAAAGTCTCTGGTTTATGTTCTGTGCCCTGATGATGAGTTCCTTTCTAGAAAGATGTCTTTAATTATAGAACCAGTAAGAGAATAAAAATTTAGAGATTAAAACTTAGTAAAGGTGTTTCTAGAGAGATCAATCTGAAAGATGCTCCCCTGAAACTGCACAATCCCTGCAACAACATGCCTCCTCAGCAACCCAGTGAGTTGGGAGAACTTGCTCAGTATTGACTGCACACTGGGACCCTGATATGACCAGACTTAGGGGTCAAATAACTTGGAGGGGAGCCCTAAATACATTTGTTTAGACTGTCCTACTATTGGTTCAGAAATAGCCAATTTTAATAAACAGTGAACATCATCCCAAGATGGTGCTTGCTTTCTGGAAATCAATTATTCAATCAACTGGAGGCACAAACACTGTAGAATTATTTCAGGTTATGGAAACATGGAAAGGGAGCGAAAAGAGAGAAATTTATTTTCTTATTTATAAAGATCAAGATAGTGCTTGTTCATCCTGCCACTTAGGGGACCAGAATATAAATTTATACCGTCATTTCAAGGCTTCTATATGTGACAAAGCTACTTTCTTCTAAAAATTTAGTCATTGTCATGCTTACATTTCAAGTGAAGTTATTATTAACTCAGTTTGGGGAAAAAAGTTTTGTTTGTTCAGACTCCAGTCCAATAGTAGTCTCCTTCCCCAATTCATGTGAATGACAAAAACATGACATCAATTAAGCCTCCTACAGATGTAATTTCTCTAATAGTGTAAGAACATATCATTTTAATCCATTTAAAACATAATTTTTATATGCAATAAAGCTTATGCTAGCCAAAATATTAAAGAATCTAGAGTTCTGGTTAATTAAATTCTCTGTCATAACTTAAGGGTACAAGAAAAAAACCTTTTATGTTTAATATTGTAATTAATATATTTTTTAAATATTTAAATTTTTAAAAAATTTTGTATTTTTTTATTGAAACATATTGATTATGCATATTGGTGGGGTACAAAGTTAAATATCAGTGCATGTATATGATGTGTGAGGATCAAATCAGGGTAATTAGCATAATCAAATCCATTGTCCTGCCTTATCCAACAGGATTTAGTCAACATAATCAAATATAGCTTTGCTACCCCAGGATACTACTCCAAGACTACAATTTGTTCAATGGAGGTAACTAATTGCTGCTCAATATTGTTCCAGTCTCTATATTTTTCTCAGTTACATGCTACAACCTCATTAGTGCTATTTGGGAATACTTTGCTTTAAATGGTCTAAATTCATTTAATATATAATATTATCTTCCTGCATGAAAAGTGACATTATTATTTTAACAAAATTAGATAAGAAACCTAGTTAAAAGACATCTACACCTAACAGAAAATAAGGCCTATACCTGATTTCAAATGTAGAAAATTTAAACTTTTAAAAACACTGAAAGAAATTTAGAGTTTTCACATACAGTCCACTCAAAATGTTTTTAGGACCAGTACATGGTAGCAACTCAGTTTCAGGATAAATCAGTAAATTTAGTTTACATCAATGTTCCAAAGGAAGCTGAAATGAAATAGTTCAGAATGACTTATAGAGATCAGAGAAGGACTGAATCACTGCACTGACAAAAACATATTCTCTGACAAAATATACTCCTGTTCTTAATATAGATGCCAATTTCATAGGGAATATAAATTTCTCTAAAAATTCTGCTCTAAAAAATGAATTTTTAACAATTTGAATGACATAACTTTCTTTCACTAAGGTATTCAAAAACCTTTTGGTAATACTGTATTTGACTCATTTATATCTGAGGAGTTTTCCAACCAGCCTTTAACGTCTCTATCCCTTGAACATTTGAGTTTTGTTACAGACATCCTACCTTTTCTTACAAGGAAGGGAGTTCTCTACCAAATGCAAAAGAGTAATCTATGGCAAGAGTAATTAAAAACCCACTAGGTTTGTTTTTACACTATTTACTAAGCTTTCTTACCCAGAGTTTAGTAAAATGATTTATATTTTATTATTGCTTTAAGCATATTAAAATGCCTTTGTTCACGTTATAAACCACATACACACAGAAACTGCTGCACTCAGATTTGTTACACTCAGATTCGGTGGTTAATATAATCAGGTTAATATGTTAAAAAGAACTTGACACAGAAATTATTAATGAGTAGAACAAGGTCACTACTTCTGAGCTGAGGTCACTTACAAAGAATGCACAAATGAAATTAAGGTTGACTTTTATTTACTTGACTATCTTATTACATTGGATTCCTTTGGCAACATATCTTTAAACATTTAAAGCCCTGTTTACAAGGAGGCTCTGAAAGAAGCTTCAAACCATTATGCCCCTAATTGAATTCCCCAGGAGTCCAGTTAACTCAGAGGAATAAAGAAAAATCATAACATTTGGTAAATCATCGCCAAACATATTTCAGTGTAAGGTTATGTGACCTGTTTTTTGAGGTTCAAAGATGAATAAAAAATATTGCTGAATGTTTCGTTATTTAGACTAAAATCAAAAAGAATTTTACCTATTGGTAAAAATAGGTACCACTCCTAGTGGTAAATTAAATCAGCCCAGTTTTAACTTTTTCACCAAGAGGAATCCAACAACAAACAATAACAATATTTTTTATGGTATGTGACCACTTTCCCAGAGTATAAAAGCTCTCAGGAGAAGAAAAAAATATTCAATCAAAAACAATACCTTTACATAAAGAAAAGGTAGGAGAGAGAGCTGACAAAAATTTTGTAATCTCCCGTATAAGCAGCATCTTATCTGTGAATTCAAAACAAACTCAAGTGGAAGAAAAGAAAGTAAAAGTTTTTAGCAACCAATTAGTTTATTACAATGCCCTCTCTTCTCAGTTCTAACTTTACTTTAAAATAAGCTTTTATGACCTTGTTATTCATAGTTCCCTTGTATACTTCTGTGTTTGTTGTGACTACTAAGCAAAAACATGTGGATCTGAGCATTTCCAAAAGAATGTTAAATCCCTCTCTACTTACCTGGTTTGTATGTTATTCCAGGGGGAAAGAGGAATCCCTGTTGGGCAGCAGCAGCTGCTGCCAGGGTCCGCTGGTCATGTGGAAAAATTGGGATCATGAGCGGAGGCATGTGACCCTGAACCTGCTAAACAGAAGAGAGCCTATGATCAGACAGAGAGCAAATGTATGCCAAGAAGTATTTGTTTTTCACTCCTGGTGGTGTGCTGGTACCCACACAGCCACATACCTCTAATCTCGTTCCAAATCTACAATCTGAGTAAATTTAGGCAAAATCCACCAAATCCCTTTTCTTAGATGCCATTAGCATAACAAGGACATAATTTCACTGTGAATTTGCCTCGCTCCTACTTCCACCAAACTGTAGTTAATGGTTTTCTTTTCTCTTGACTTTTTCTCTTTTATTTTCTCTCTGTCTTTTAAACAAAGAACTGGAAGAAACAAGTTTGCTTCTTTTCTTATGCTGTACAACGTTGAGAGGTTTTGCCCTTTCACCTGCTTTGCATTCTGTGCTTTATTTTGAAAATATTATTTAGTATCCTTGGTCAGAAAATAATGTCTAATTGTTATATATTCTACAAGCTGTATCTCTCCAGTTTAGGTATCTTATTTCAAAGCCTCACTGCATTATGTTAAGCATATAGCTCTTCAGATTTAAGGCTACTACATCTTGGCTTCCAATTAAACTAATATTCTTTGCCATACACACCTCGATGTAACATATAAATTGCTTGTCTGGCTAAGCAGTTTTACAGCTTTATGCACTACCATGTAGCACAGTAATTATGGAGTTGTATTCAGAGAACATTTCATAATAAATCCTACTATATCAAATTTCATTTGGCCTCAATAAATGTATCAAAGAGCACAAAAATGCAAAATAGAAAATCTTCACTCTATATCAGTATTTGTATTCCATATAAAGAAAATAAGAGCTGTGACAGAATCATGCTTGCGAAAATTACATTTTAATTTCCTAGCTCCCTTTTTTACTCTATGCATGCTGCCCTGATTCCAGGATAGCATGACAGGAAGGTTTTGTCCTGGTTTTTAGGGCACGATTTTACAGGTTGAAATACAGGACTTTTATTATTTAAAGATCAAAACTAAGATGTACCAGAAGAAATTATCTTTAAGTTCAAACAGGGTCTTTGGGCCTTTTTACTAGCATAAAAAGGGCTGCATTATATCCTATTTAAGATACAATCCTTTACCAGCAATTCTACCAAACCCAAACCTTTCCCCTATTTAAATCCCTAAATCTTCTCCTTAGGCAAAATTTCATATACTGCTGATGACCCTGTTTAAATAGCACCAACTTGCCTTGTCCTGTCCCTGTTCCCTTCATATCCAGGGACACAGTGCAAAAATGCTTCTGTGTGGGTCTAAGAGGTTTCATTTACCAACAGTTTTTCTCTAGGGAAAGCCCTCAGATGTGGGTTAATAAAGGGCAAGCAAAAAATAAACACTTTACAGTATTTTTCTGAATTCATTTCTCAGGAAAATCAACTTATAATAAAAAGGTCTTTGTGCAATTACTACCTCGGCAGTGGGGCGTGAAAGAAACTAGCTTTGAGCAGCTATTTCTTCCATTTTAGCTGAGGTAAGCCCAAGTTCTGTACATTAGAGTACAAACTTAGCCTGCTTAAATTGGAGCTGATCCCCTAGTGTCCAGGTCTTGCCTTTAACCCTGAAGAATAGCACTGGGTTTGTTGTTCAACTCCAGCTTGCTGCAATCTGATGTAAACCTGAGATATCAAATATGAGGGCACTTTTTTATGCCAGAAAATAAAACACAGTATTTTTTGTGTGTGACTATTGTTCAGTGCAAGAATGTAACAAAGGAAATTATTTCATTTTCCTCTAAAAACATACCTAGAATACAGCACAGATGTTTCACCCACTAAAGAAGGAACACAGAAAGTAAGGAGTCTGGTATCATATTTATCTATTCTTTCCTTCTTTCATTCAACAAACATTTATTAAGGTGCTATTACCTGTTAGAGAACGCGAAAATAGCTGAAGAAATTGGGAATATTTAATTTTGGAGAGAGAAGACATAACATTGTCTTCAAATATTTGAAGGAATGATATGTAGGAACAGAATAAGATTAAGACCGAGTAGCTCCAGAAGGTTCAGCAAGGCTCAAAAGGAAAAGATTTTAGGGAATTTGTATGCAAAGAAGAATTACCTAATAATAAGTTATTCCACAATCACTCTGATTATAGAGGCCGAGCATGCCTTTTCCCCAGATGTGATCTAGTACAGGGTGTATACCCCCAAATGTTAGAGATGGTTTAAAGTACATACATAACTAAAAACCTGACTAGAGCCTCTCCAACTTTATAACTCTAAGATTGTTTAAAAGTCACCATTAAGGAGAGAGTGTGATATTAGGTATTCCTTTATTCATTCATTCAACACATATTTATTAAGAACTTACTATGTTGCGCACAAAGGCTTTGTTGGCAAACAAATCAGAGCTCAAATCTACATACTGCTATTTCCTTGGCTGTGTAATCTTGAACAGTTACTTAACCTTTCTGAGTCTATTTTCTCATGTAAAAACTGAAGTTAATTACACTACCTTACATGGTTATCGTGAGGATTAAATAGACAATAAAAGAAAAGCTTATGACACAGTGCCTGACATAACAGTTACTTAATATAATATCACAGTAAATGTTAGACCCTTGTTCTTTTCTTATATAGTTTGCATATTCAGTACTAGAAAATAATCAAATTACTGATAAACAAGAAACAGTGGATCTTACCCATAACTCTACTTCAAGAAAGAAAACATGAGCCAACTAAATAATTCAGTTTGGCAGGCAGAGGCTTGTCATGTTCTTAGCAGACACCATGCCTCACAGAGCATTAAGAGCATTATCCCATCCCAAGTATCTAGAAAACCATGAAAAAAAAAAAAAAAGAGGTAGGATTACAAGGGTCATTTGAAGATGTAATTTGGGGTCTTTAGTCTTATTCATTAAATAGCATCTTAGAATAAAAATATTTTATTTTTATATATGTCATCCAAGTTCTTCAGATCATGAGACAACATAAGGGGGTCAATGGCAATTAGGGACCAGACCTTATTTCTTAAATCTTGATGTCTAATGATATTTCCTTTGTAACTGTCCATATTCATAACTTAATTAATTAAACTGTCCAGGGTCATTTTTAATAAGGAAGACCTATAGGTTATTTATATTAACATAAACTATAAGAATTTAGGGAAGTTCCTTTCTGTCCTTCACACTCTACCAGGTAGAATATGCTAAAAACTTTAAATGCTAACTATTAGCCCAGAGACTATTTCAGTAAGTTGAGATACAAATAAATAAGGAAGGAGATGGAAGACATTGTGAAAGCAATAGTAATAATAGACTCAGAGTTGGAATAGAGCTTAGAGATGATCTGGCCCAGTAGTTCTCAAAGTGTGGTGCCTCAGCATCAGCAACATCTGGGAACTTTTTAAAAAAACATATCCTCAGGTTCTACCCCATACCTAATTAGTCAGAAACTCTGGCATTGAATCCAACAATCTAAATTTCAGACTAAAATTTAATCCAGGGATGTGATTCTCAGTCTTTAGAGTGCATCAGAGTCAACCGGAGAGCTTGTTAAAAAACAGATTGTTTGGCAGCCCCAGAGAGTCTTTAAATCAGTAGATCTGAAGTGGGGCCAGAGAATGCATTTCTAACAAGTTCCCAGGTGAAGTTGGTCCTGCTGATACAGGGATCATTCTTTGAAAATCACTAATCTAATCCAACCTTCACAATTTACACATAGGGAAACAGGTGGCTAGAGAAAGTAAAAGACATGAGCCTAAGGTTACACTGCCTATGACAGAGCTGGATCTAGAGTCCAGAACTGCTAATCATCCTGTCTAGTGCTTTTTCCATTACATCACATGGACTTCTGTGATAGAAAAGAGAGAAGTCACTTGTGTACACTGTTTAAGCAGAGAAAACCTGGAGGTCTCCAGCTGAAAATAATTTTGGTTCAGAGGTGTATTGTTAGAGTTTGGATATTATAAATGTTCAATTTTAAATCATGTCTTTTCTTCCTTCCTCTCTCTTATCTTTACCCAGTACACACCTGATCTCAATATCCACTGTTATTAATTTCAATAGTTCATTACAATACATTCATTAACAATGATCATTTAGTTCCAAATGATAAAATTGCCCTTAGCTTATTTTAAGTAAAGCAATGATGTGAAAATTTAAAGTGTCATTTGTTAAAGACAAGCCAGAATACCTAGTTAGAATCTAGGCTGAGAGATGATGTACAGCTCCTCTTTTAGCTCTATAATTACAGAAGTAATAATAGCGATGATGATGATAATAACAATGACCACAGCAGCAACTATTTTTCAGTGCTTTCTATATCTCAAGCACTAGAAAAGTGATTTACATGTTCTTTCTCATTTAATCCTCAAAACTCTATCAGGTGCTTATTGTTATTATCCTTATTCATTAAATGAGAAAGACAAAGCCAAAAGAGGTTAAGTAACTTCATCAATTAAAAGGTGGTAGAGGCCATAACTTTATTTGTCTAAATGGATGCTGGCTACTTCAAGACAATAAGCTTAGGAGGTCAAAGAGGTTAAGTAACTTCATCAATTAAAAGGTGGTAGAGCCAGAATTCAAGTTCAGATATGTCAGGGCCAAAGTTTGTACTTTTAAGTACCATATTATATTAAGCATGAAGTCATCTTTTGATAAACAGATCTCAATGAGATAAGGAATACAATTCTTTGTGATAATTATCTGACTGACAGTTTTACAAATATAATTGTATGTTTACATGTAGTTGTAATAAACAATATAGAGAGATCACATGTTCCATTTACCCAGTTTCCCCCAGTGGTAACATCTTGCAAAACTATAATACAATATCACAACTAGGGTATTGACTCTGATACAATCCAACAATCTTATTCAGATTACCCCAGGGTGTTAAAGGAATTATGTCCCAAAAATTAGCATGGATAATGAGAGTCTAAGAACACTTCCAACTACCATTGTCTATAGAATGCTCACCAGTATGACCAATGCAAGTGATATAAATGGAGAGAATGAATTAAAGCAACAATTTTCCCCTTTTATAACTTT